TTTGGATTATATTACTAGTGAAAGCTGCAAATCTGCATTTTTCTTTGAACTTGTTGAAGCAAAGGTCCGACGTAAAACTGTCGTATATAGTGATAGTCCACGTAATAATATTAAGCTCTCTGAAAAACCAATGGGGATATGGTCGTTGATCGGAAAATAAATTTGCAAAAAAATAGAGTAGTACTTTCAATTAATAAACAAAAAAAGGTACTAATATCTATACTAACCCGTTTAACAAGCCACCAAGTCGGTCAACCTAACCTCGCAACAAATTGAGCTCAATCTTCATTTCTATCAATAGGATTGTTGTCATGACTGTCCACATATGAGTTGGGGGCTTTCTTCCCATGACCAAAGCACTCCATAAAACCACATGATTCATATTGAAGGAAAAAAATTATTATTTCTCGAAAACATATGAAAATAATAATAAAGTAATAAATTTACTTCGATATCCAACTATCCGGTTCCTTGCCAACCATATAGGCGGTCCCAAAACTCGTCTCCCCACATACCCAAATAGAGTCTTTATTGCGCGTAAATCAACTGATGATGTGTGAACACAAGTATCGGGAACTTTTTATCCATATAGATATATGTGTCCAATATAGTCTATGTACGTTGTGCACTTTTGTAGGTTTATGCTTTTTCTTTGTTTTCGACTCCACATAAAATTAACAAATTGTATAAAATTTAACAAAAGTAAATATAACAATAAAAGACACATTTATTGTATATGTATTTAAATATAGATTAATATACATGGCCTTAAGAAGACTTGTTCCAATTTAAGGGCAGCTTCGATTGGTTCACTCTGGCCTTCGAGATGATAGACATGGCATGATCATCCAAAACAACAATTAAAATGGGTGGTGGTGATACATAGTTAGGAATAGGATTGGTATAAACAACAAGAATAGGACGAGCATGATCATCCAGAAAAGTATCACGAAAAAAGCATTGTCGACAACATTACCAAAATTATCCAATTAAGTATACCAAAAGTTATCAATATTTTGTTTTTGGTGGATCTCTTCCTCAATGGCATAATTTTTTTTTTTTTGTCATTTTCTTATATCCCATCAACAACATTTCATTGGGCTCGATTGATTATTGACTACTGAAGTCGTATACGACAGACGTGTCAGATGTCTCGAACGACAAGTGATATGAGTTGTGTGATAAGGATACACTCATGGATGAAGAAGCATCACCCAATATTTTTTCTCAGTGAGTGCCTGCTTCTAGGAATTGAAGGAGGTTAAAGTTGGCCGTGAGGTTCCTTTGCGGCTAGAGGTTATTGTCGGGTGTATAAGGTATTGGGGTGCCCTCCATAAAATAATTATAACGTGTAAAATACTTGGCTTCGTACTCCAACAACCTAGGTTCCATATTTCGTGGAGTATTATTTACCTGAAATTTAAGCAATTAAAACGATTGAAGACTTGAGTAAGCATCTTATTCTTTTGCTGGAAAAAAAAATGCTCATATCAACAATTAAGATTGTTCTTGTTAACAGCCTTTACATCATCAGCACCTTCAAAGGCAACAGTCAACGTATCCATCATCTCCTTGGTTGATTGACAGTTTTATACAAAGTGATGGATTTCATATGGAAGAGAGTTTCCTATAGCAACAAGGGCTCTAACATCAAGAGCAAGAAGACGTTTCTCTTCACCGTCGAATTCATGAACAAGTTTTTTTTGACTAAATCACCTTCTTTGACATTGTCCTTCATGGGCTGGTACATAGGAACGTGAGGACCGTTTTGGATGATATCAATCATTGAGTAGTCCATACTTTCAAGAACCATCATTGCCTTCGATTTTCGCATGGTAAAGTTCTTTTCATCGAACTGTGGAATTTTGTTATCAGAGGTAATTTAAGTGGGATTTGAAGAAGAAGAGGAAGACATAGTTAACTGATATAAGCAACCTTCTTTGATACCGATTATAGGTTCCTTGATCGATATCAATTAACAATAAGAAAACAAAAGAACACAGTAGAATTAACACAAAGGTTTTCATTAAGAATATGTTCTCACTAAGAGAACAAGCACAAAGCTCTAGGGTTCGATGATCACCTAATGATCAGAACCCTAGTATATAAAGAAAAGTAAATACGATGTGGATCCCTACAAACTAAGGATATCACCTAATCTTCTATAATAATAAAGTATATCTGATATCACTAAGATATCAGATCTGCTAACTAACTACATATATACCATAGTTATAAGAGATTACATAAGATATACTTATGACACTGACACAACATTGTAGACTTGACTTCACGTTGACACTTTATGAGACGTTGTCACTGATTGAGTCAGCGTGATTGTTTTACATCATCAAATTCTAAAGCTTGACCATATAGACCCAACTCTTGGTCGCATCACAGACACTAGGCAACAAGACAGTCGTGAAAAACCTTTGAAACCCTGTGTCGCAACCCTTCCTTGGTCACCTCGCGGTTTGCAGACCAAAATAAACTTCATGTTAAGCACTTAATCTCTTCAAATCAAGGCTCATATAGCCATATCTAAATCCAATAAGGGTGTTAATGGATAAAGTTTTCAACTTTATCCAGATCCATGGATCAATTAAACCCAATCTCAAACCCTAAATCAAATAAGAGCCCTAAACGACTTGATTCCTTTGCATGGCTCCAACAGAGCCCAAACATGCACTTATGTGGCTTTACGGATGTCTAGAAATCATACTAAGTCAATCATAATGTTCTGGAGTTCTCCAAACTCCAAGAACATCAACAAATGGGACCAAAAGAGGCAAAAAAACTCAACCCAAGACTAGATCTATGCATGAATCAATGTAAAGTACGATATTTTATGACTTACAAGGCTTATGATGGTTCTAAAAGGTGGAAACTTTTTGCTGGAAAGGGCCACACCAAACAACAAGAGTTTCCTTCTCCACCAAGAATCCCCTAAAATCACACAAAAGCTCTCAAGAATACACCAGAAGGCTAGGGTTTCGTTCTGAGGGTGGGGGACAGTGATAAGAGAGAACCCTAAATGTTAGTGTCTTTATATAGGGCACAAGACCCGAGACCTAGGGTGTTGGGTTATGGCAGCCATGTGGCATGACTCACACCAAGTTGCATTGCTACTTATCGATGTGGCTCGCGTCGTAAATCCCAAAACCCAAAATCTCTTAACATCAAAACGATTAACTTGCACTCCAGCTCATAGAGAATGTGCTCCCGCTTGGGAGTGCTCTCTATCTAAGGTGGATGCGCTCCATAGATGTGTTGTACCTTCAAGAAGCACTCTAATGAATGTGTCAGATGCATGGAGAACGTGCTACCTAGGTGCATGGAAGGTGGTCATGCACATCCCTCTAGGTTGAAGATTCTAGAAGCAGTTGCATGATGTATTGTGATTGGTTGATTCCATTTAAGGTCTAATTATGGATGGGTTTGGCCCATCATAATTAAGGCATCCTTATTCTTGCCTATAAATAGGCACCCCCCATCTCCATCAACATTTGCAAAACGTGGCACGTACATGATTGCACAGTTTTCAAGAGAATAATCATTGTGAGGTTGAGAACATATCCTCTAAAGTAGTTTGTCAGGAAGAGAGATTCATTTTGTTTAAGAGCTCAAGTGAGGTGCAACCATTTGTGAGTGATTGTATTTTCTTTTTCTGGTCCGTCTATGGGCATAAGTTACATCGACCGAACCATGTTAAATATTATGTTCAGTTTTACAAAATTTGAAATACTGCTTTTCAAAAGTTTATTCTATGCATTTTATATAAGCTATTTATCGTTTGTTACTCATTTTTTTGGAGTTTGTTTAACTTATTTTGTTGATACCAAACGAGTTTGTTTAAATTATTTTGTTGATATCAAACGGTTTGAACGGCCGAAGAGGGGACAAGATTGACAGAGACTTTTGGTGACGAGTAAAGAAGCTATGAGGTTGGAATTTAGGCCATACAAAAAAGGGAAAAACTCAAAAACTTCTCCACGGAAAAGAATAGTTACTTTCACCGAATTTATCTTTATACCCACCTTAGAAGTTAGAACTCATAAACACGCATTTTTGAACACCTTGTGAAAGTATAACCCCAATAAAAAGAATTGTTATTAATTTAGTATATATCTTAATGATTTATTAATTATATATTAAATTATTAAATTTGTATTTATATCTTACTTCTATATATTTATTAGGTATATATAATACTATTTCATTTTTGAATTAGTATTTGTATTATATCATGAAAATAATTACAAAAGCTTATATGACAAAATTACAAAGTTCAAAGCGTAGTGACATTTGTAGAGGGGTGTGGATGTCTATTGGGTTGTTATTTGTTAATCAAACATATTATTCAATTGCATATTGGTTATTTTAATAACCAATATTTAATTATGTTTCTTTCCTGTTATTTCATCTTTGAATGAACATGCATTGAGGTATGCGATATAACAACTTATGCCACACTTCATGGATTCTCTCAAAAGCATGAACATGTGAGCAAAGAGAATAGTAACGCAAAGATATAAATACCACTCTCACCCTTCCATTTGTAAATCCCCCCATGCTTTCAGGGTTCAAAGACCTCAACTCCTTTCTACAAGGTCAGCTCTTTCTGCTTTGATTCACCTTTACTCATTTCTTCTTTTTGTAATTAGGTTAGATTCAGATTGCATATGAAAGTAATTATGGAACCTGTTCCCGATAGATTCAAGATTTTTGTTTCGATTACATTTTTAACAGTTGAAATAGTAAATCTGAGTTCATGTTTCTCAGTGAGATCGGGTTAGATTCACACTGCATACAAAGTAAATACTGGAGGGTTTTCATAAATTCAAGATTACCCTTTCGATTTCATGTTTGATTCTTGCAATTATAAACCTGATTTCATGATTACCCAACCGAAATTGCAGGCTGAAGTCGTGATCTTTTTACTACAGGTTAGATCCAAATTTCATCTGGATACATTAAAAAGATTCGTTTGGTGATTCTTTATGGGGTTTTCTATCATATTCAAGCTTATTATTTTGGTTTTGATTTCATGTTGGGTTCTTGAAATCGTTGATGGGTATTATCTTCCTGGCAGTTTCCCCAATAGATACTACGTGGGTGATCAATTATCCGTCAAAGTTAACTCGTTAACCTCCATAGATACAGAAATACCATATGGGTATTACACTTTGCATTTCTGTAAACCTTCTGAAGGCATTAAAGATAGTGCTGAAAACCTAGGTGAACTTCTAATGGGAGATCGAATCGAAAACTCCCCATATCGGTTCAACATGTTCAAAAACGAATCCGAAATCTTTTTATGCAAAACAAATCCGTTATCTAGCAACGAATTCAAGATGTTGAAAAAATGAATCGATGAAATGTATCAAGTCAACCTAAATCTCGATAACCTTCCCGCCATTCGATACATGGAAAAAGATGGATTCTTTCTTAGATGGAACGGTTTTCCGGTTGGCGCTAAAGTTCAAGATTCTTACTACGCATTTAATCATTTAAAGTTTACAATATTTGTTCATAGATATGAACACAATAATGTTGCCGGTGTGATCGGTACCACTGATGGGGATGAACTGATCACACCGGCAAACGAAACCACCACCAGCGAAGGTTACGTGGTGGTAGGTTTCGAAGTTGTCCCATGCAGTGTGAACCATAATGAAAAATTACTAAATAACGTTAAACCTTATAGTAAATACCCGTCACGGATAAAATGTGATCCGCTTTCCGTGGGAATGAGTGTGAAGGAGGGTAAACCCGTAATTTACACGTATGATGTTTCGTTTGTGATGAGTGATATAAAGTGGGTTTCAAGATGGGATACTTATTTAAAAATGGAAGGTGCAAAAGTTCATTGGTTTTCGATTTTGAACTCGTTAATGGTGATAACATTTCTTGCGGGTATTGTTCTTGTAATTTTTTTGAGGACAATTCGTAGAGATTTAGCACGTTATGAGGAGTTAGATAAAGAAGCTCAGACTCATATGAACGAGGAGTTGTCGGGGTGGAAACTTGTTGTTTCTGATGTTTTTCGGTCCCCGAACAACCCTGAGCTTCTCTGTATTATGGTGGCGGATGGGTGTCGGATTCTCGCAATGGCGATTGCTTTGATCTTTTTTGCGGCTCTTGGGTTTATGTCTCCGGCTTCACGTGGAACCCTAATCAACGGTATACATTTGGATTTCCTTTCTAACATAATTATTATATTATTGAATTCTACTAATTTGTTTTATAGCATAAATGTTACTTAAACAAATAGTAACAATATATAAACTAAATAGTTTTAATATTTAAATATATAAATACTATAAATTGTGTATGTTAACTAATGGCCCTATATGTGTCAACACTTGCCAAGTCTTGCAAGGACTATGTGATTTGGCTCAAGTTGGTTTTGAAAGACTATTTGCAACTATGTTTGGTACCCGATCTCAAAGTTTTTAATGGAAAATAAAATATCTAAATGCAAGATAAAGGTGTCAGCTTTTATCTTATTAAGTCATCCAAAGTACAATCCACATTTACAACATGATACTTTTAATTTATTTTCTTATAAACACCTTATACACTAAAAAATTACGCAATCATGATGTAGTTAGATGACATTGCAATATTCATGTAGAGATTATTAAAGTACGGAATTGTAACAAATGAAAGTAGGATGCTATGATAAAAATATCAATGAAAACATGTTACTACTTCTTGCATTTAACCAGATCTGATTACAACTAAATTACTAATATTTGCAGGAATGCTCTTGTTCTACGTGTTATTAGGCTTTTTAGCCGGTTACATAGCGGTTTGGCTATGGCGAACACTCTCGATTGGTGAACGCCAAGGATGGTTTTCCATTTCATTGCGTGTCGCATGTTATTTTCCTGGTCTCTCATTTCTAATCCTAACCCTAATTAACTCACTCTTGTGGGGAAGTGATAGCACCGGTGCAATCCCATTCACAACTTTTCTTGTTCTAATCTTACTTTGGTTCGGGATCTCAGTTCCCTTAACTTTAATTGGTGGGTTCGTGGCAACAAAGGCTCCATACCTGGAGTACCCTGTTCGAACCAATCAGATCCCACGGGAGGTCCCGGCCCAGAGGTTCCCATCTTGGATTTTGATACTTGGGGCCGGGACACTACCTTTTGGGACCCTTTTTATCGAGCTTTTTTTCATCATGTCTAGCATTTGGCTTGGGAGGGTTTATTATGTTTTTGGATTTCTTTTTGTGGTTTTGATATTATTAGTGATGGTTTGTGCGGAGGTGTCGCTGGTGGTTACTTATATGCATCTTTGTGTGGAGGATTGGAGGTGGTGGTGGAAGTCGTTTTTTGCATCGGGAACGGTGGCGTTTTATATATTTTTGTATTCGATTAATTACCTTGTGTTTGATTTGAAGAGTTTGAGTGGGCCTGTGTCGGCGATGCTTTATTTGGGATATTCTTTGTTTATGGTGATTGCAGTGATGCTTGCGACAGGTGCGGTTGGGTTCTTAACGTCATTTTTCTTTGTTCATCGGCTTTTTTCTTCTGTTAAGATAGATTAATTAATGTGATGATTTTGGTTTTTGTAGCTAACTGTTTATTTTTAACATAATAACAATTACAAAATGTGTTTTTATAACACGTATTGATGTATGTATAATTGTATATGTATGTACTTATGGTTGTGGCGATCCAGCCATTAACCATAAAATCAAGTTAATAATATATATATATATATATATATATATAATATATATATATATATATATATATATATATATATAATATATATATATATATATATATATTTGTTATAAATGGGTGGGTCAAATATTGATTTGGATAAATGTTCGAACAAATTAGGTTAGAGTCAAAACAAGGTAATATTTGTTATATAAATTGGTAAAACATAGAAATCTAAAAATAAGCACAAATCTATATATTACATGACATTGAATATGGGTTTTTAAATTGGATATCGGATCTTCAAATTTTGGGTACTAGATTTTTAGATTTTTGATATCTTAATATTCAAACTTTTGGTTATGAAATTGAAACACCAAAATCTAAAATAATTTTTATTTGTGTAATTCTTGGGCATTGGTTTACAAATGGAGATGTGAAGGGAGTAAGTTCTTTTATTTAATTTGTTAAAAGTTTGTTATAATAGTTATTTAAAATGCGTTTTTGGATCCTTATAGTGAATAAGATGTTATTTGTTTCCAGGTTTATGTGAGTAAAAATGGGGAAGAGCTTATTGGCCGAGCTGCTTGCATTCTCTATACAAATGTATAAATATTGACATAGTGGCATTCGTTTTGAATATAAATCGTGGAGCAAGTTTGGATTAGCAATGATTTGGTTTGGTGGGTGATCTCATGTCCAATCCTACAACCGAAGGATTTGATGAATTGTAGTTGTTCTTAAGACAACATCTTTAATTAATTGATTCATGTTGTTCCCCTCGATATTTTGAATTTGAGAATCATTCTCCCCTAGATGTGAGAACATCCTGCGGAAGTTTAAATGTCATTGAGGAATTGAAATTCATTCAAGGTTGTGGGTGAGTTGTGAGTCATTGGTATATAATAAAAAAGAAATAAAATAAGATATCATATACACATATAAACGAAAGTATAATGTTAATTTTGCATTTAGCCATATAGCACCTAACAACCATGCGAACTCTTGAGCTATTTTTTAAATGGAAATAAGACGTGTTTGCAAAACTAACTAGCAATTGTGAGTTGGAAGTTGAAAGTTGTAAGTTGTAGTTTTATTTGTCAAAGTTTCAGCAAAAAGTAGTTGTAAGCTTTTTAGATGTGTAAAATAACATAAAAGTTAAAAGCTCTCAAAAGCTATTTGAAATAGCTTTTGGATCTGAAGTTTTCGTTTAAACTAAAGCTTTAATTCCATGCATCCGAACGAAGTTTTTTTAATCTGAGCTTTTTTCTTAAAAAACTAAAAAGTATTAAAAAAATTCATTATCGCCCAACACCTCCAGAGTTTATTTAGATAACTAGCAAAAAGATGGAAAGAATACAAATAATAAAACAATGAAAAAGCAAAGTAGGGTCCTTAATCCATCACATACATAGCAGTGTACTCTTAAGATATCTACTCGAGAAGCAAAGATATGATTGAGCCACTATTTTATAAAATAAATAATTTTCTTAGGCAAAACCCTTCTTTATTTGCACATAGAGCCCTGATAAATCTGCCAAAGGAAGTCACTCCATAGCCAAAGAAAACACGGGAAAAGGGACATATACAACAAAATGATCACCAAAATCGCTAAAATGACCAAAAGTCATGCGGCATTGAACAACCACACTTTCAACCTTTATAACAAAATGATCATCAGTTTCACTACAAACATATTGTGAACTCGCACAGTAACATTTCCTAATAAGAACAATCTTGTTAAATATTTTGAAGACATTCATTTAGTTCGCAAGACATTCTATGTCAAACATATAAGTCGGTTGTTCTTTTATGGCTCGTGAATAGATGATTGTTAGTCACAAAGTGTATTAAACACGTTGACTATCTATAATCTTACATTATAATTCTCATACAATCTCTTTTCTTTTCCAAAAATCAGTTTTTCTCTAAAGAGCAACCTGATGGTGAACATGATGATGGACCAGTTTTAAGAAATCGTTTTAAGCCATTTATTAATTGTTTTTATATAAGTTGATCTTTATATATCCTTTTATATATCCTTATGTGTATAAAGTTGTATTCATGTTGCGAATTCACAAGTTGTATTTTACTTGTTTTATATTTTTTTCAGTTATGTTACTTATTTTGTACATAATGTGATGATTAAAACAATGAAAAATTGCATTAAAACTTTATGGTTTTACCTTATTATGTTTCACAAGTTTTCTTATATTTTCATAAATTATTTTATATTTTTGCAAAATGGATATTATGTATTCGGTAATGGTCTAAGATACTATTTCATATGAAGTATATAGATTTCACAAATATTACTTACTTTTTAAATTTGTCACTTTGTTAGTTTTAAAATTTTGTTTGTTGTTTATTTAGTGAGCAAAAGTAAATAAACAAGCAACTTAAAATATCTCTAAAGAAAAAAGTTAGAGAAAATCCAGAAATCAAAGAGTTTAGAAAACTCTTTTTTATATTGTACTCCCTCCGTCCCAAAATTATTGTCCACCTTACTATTTTAGTTTGTCCCAAAATTATTGTCCACTACCAAAAATAGATATACATTTTACCATATGACCCCTAACATTTAATAAAGTAAACTTGAATAATTACAAAAGCATATTTCCTATTGGTTTTAGAAAATGGCAAGAGGGTCATTTTATTCAAAAAGACAAAACTAATGATTGTTTTTTTTAATTTATGTGTTTTTTTGTCTGTGGACAATAATTTTGGTACGGAGAGAGTAATAAACAAAAAGTAAAAAAAAAAAAAACTATATATGAATATTTTTTCTATTCAAATCTTTATTGTTTGTCAACGGTATCCGGTATTGCCCTCCCTCCTTGAGGTCGAGGGTTCAAGTCTTATTGGACATAGGTGGAATAATTTAAGAATAATTTAGTATATATATTTGTATTTGTGGTTCAAAAATAAATTCACATCTTTTATCATAACAAGAGTGACCTTAACAGCCTTTCTAGTGAAGCGGCCACACTTCAATTATCGAAGTGACCGAGTAGTGGATACCATAGAGTTTTTAGGCCAACGGTATCAGATGATGTCCTCCCTCTTTGAGGTTAAGGGTTCAAGTCTCGTCGTAAACATAAATAAAATTAGATATTAGCTTTGAAGTAAATTAGATTTGTCGGTTAAAAAAAAAAAAAAAAAAAAGACTTAGTAGTGGATAATAGAGGTCTGACAAGGGAAATTACTTGGAAGTTTAAATGACTTGTTCATTAGCTCTATAAAATGAAAACATATTTTGATAAATAAATAAAAATGAAAACATATTATGCATAATTCATATCAAAACAATTTATGATCTTCTATTGCATAAATTCTGACAAAATAATCGAGCATTGTTACACAAACATCTAAATACCATAAATGATATGAAATCTAATAATTTCCTGGGACATGGTAGTCCTACACCTTACCTTCCGATTCCCACCACAAACATTTAAAACCAAACATATAGACAACATACCTACTTTTGTTAAGAAGCTCTACCTAATAAACATGAAATTAAAGTAATAAAAGGTGTCAATTCCACTTCATTGCAAGCTAATACCCTTCTGGAATAAAAGAAGAAAAGAAAAAGATACCTCCCCTTACAAGCAAACCCAAAAGCAAAAACATTATCAAAGCCTTTTGCTTTAGTCTATTTTGGCTTCTTCCTCATATTCTTCTCTTCAATATCTTGGATTTAAAGTAATTACAAAGTAAACTTCCATTTCCAAAATCATACCTTCAATTGTTTATATCTCTCCATTTTTTTATCAGTAATTTGAGGTTGTATTCAATAATCATAATGAACAAATAAATCTTCAATTCCACAAACAAACAAACGTTATTATTATTATTATTATTATACTTTGATTCGGGTAAATATGCTTTAATTACATACAAGAAAAGCAGGCCAACCTAATCAATAATCATCACCAACTGGATTATTACATGACAACCCAGTAACATTCCTAAACTTAATTCATAGTAGATATCATATATAGCTCGAGTTAAATAAAGAAAACAACCTTAAAGAGACTATATTTTTCTCCTAATTATCCTACTAAAGAGGCATCTAGCTGAGAAACAACAATCTTTCTTACCGAATTCAAACTTTCCCAGTCAAAAATTAGGGAAATTGTGTCAAATTCGGAGGAAAGATGTTTTTCATCATCGATCAAACTTATGTAGCAACTCTACAAACTGAAATTATGGTTATTTAGAATTATGAAAGGTTTAAACCGAGAATCCGCCGGAGATCGGTGCTGGGATCTTCCTTCACGGCTGCGGTGACAAAATTCTTAGTAAAGAAGCCAGGCAAAGGGAGGGAACTTGGTGGTGGTGAATCAACGAAAGCAGAACCTGCGAAGAAAAACTCAGCGATGTTTTTCTTCATCTGCTTTGGTACCATTTCCGGGTCGGGTCCTAAGCGATTTGTTGACGAAAGGGCAAAATCGTCAATTTTCATGTCGGTTCTAGGGTTTGGAATCGAGAAACTTCTTTTCTCCTTCTCGGATTTCTTCTTCGTTGGTAGAACTCTTCGGGACGCGATGGGATCTTTGGAAGCCTTCCGATCAACGACGACTTCTTTTGTCGGTGTCGTCGTCGCCGTACCGTTTGAAACCTTGCGATCATCCATCTCCTTCAAAACCGTCGATGATTCATCCAAAGGTTCACCTCGTTTCAAAATTTTCACCTGTCCCATAACCAGATTCTTAGCGACCGCCGTCTGTGGCGGATCAGCAACCAACGCCGTTGCCGTTTTGTTTCTTCGTACGCCAGTTGGTGGACTCCGTTTCCTTCCTTCAGATCTGGTGATATTAGGGCTAGAATTCGAAAAATTAGGGCTAGGTTTCGGTGCTCGGCGGGATTTCACCGGCGTAGAAAATATATTATCGTTTAGACAATCTTGAGGATGGAGAACAACAACACCACCCATCGGTATCTTTACAGATCTACAAAAAAGAAAGAGTTGAAGCAAAAGAGACTCAGATTTGGGACTGGAGAAGAAATTGGGTGAAATATTTTTGGGGAAAATGTCCCAATTAGGGTTAGAAAGAAGAGGCTGTAGGGGGGATTTGTGAATGTGTGAATGAAATCAAAGGGGTGGATGATGATTTATAGGGAAAGTAGAGATAACTTGGGCGATGTTGTGGAGGCACCAAGGTTCATAACTACTCTCGGGTATAACTTCGTGAATGACACATCAATTAGGGTTGGGCTTGGGGAAATAGTCAATTTAACTAATGTTTTATTGAGTGGCAAAAGTTGTGACGACATGTTAACCCAATTCGAATCCGATATAAAAATAAAATATTTTTACTTGTTTCGTTATATAGGTTGATGACACGAAAATTAAAATGATAAAATTATTAACTTAGTAGTTAAGTTGTTTTTACATAACATAATCCAACACGTTTATAAGGTTTAAACTTTAAACCCGTTGACCTATAAAATAAATGAATCTGGATAAAAGGTTTCAATCCATTTTAGTAAATGAACAAGGACTTGACAATACAATGTGAAACTTTAAAATTTAAATTTTCGCTATTTACAGACGTGAAACCTAAAGACATATTTTTCGACTATTCACTACAACTTTCGACTCTACGCGCCTTGAAGACATCGAAATCGTTTGACCCGCTTTTGCGTATATTTTGTAGGTTGTTGTAAATTCCTTCAAATTCGGTGCATTTTAGTTGAATATCGTGCCACTTGTAGGGATGTCAAAAGTCCTGTGGGACCTCGTTTCCGTGGGGGCCCCGTCCCCGTTTGGGGTATTTATTAAAAAAAATCAGGGGCGAGGGCAAAGTTAACCCCCGTTTTAATTTCGGGGGCGGGAGCGGGGGTGGGCAATCCGTTCCCGAAACCCCCATAAGGGGCCCCGTTAATAAATTATACATATATTTACATATCTTTATTATATAAATATGATAAACAACAACATGATTTTGAGCTTCCAAAATTCAACAAAAAACATGTTTTTAAGTTGTTAGTATAATGTTTTTAAGATGCCATAAATTTATATTTTTAACATGTAAAATCCAGTTATAAATAATTATTTGTTAGCTAAAAAATAGCTTTTTTAGCCCAAAAAAAGGCAGCTCAAAATCAATCGGGGGTGGGGGAATGGGGGCGGGGGTAATAAGGGGGATTTGGGGGTGGAGGCGGGGGTAAGAAGACTGGACATTTCAGGGGCGGGGCGCGGACGGGGGAACATGGAAATTTCGGGGGCGTGGGCGGGGGTTGTTGTCACAACTAGCAAATTTAGGGTTGAGATGGTGATTTATGTACAAAACAATTTTCTCTATGCAACCTTACTGCATCAAATTAGTGAAATTCAAACTACAATGTTATTTGGATACATATGAGCATACATTGAGAATCAAGTTGAAATAGCCTCTTGCAAGCCCAAAAACTTGATCCAATAGCTAAACCCAATCAATTTGGGCATTGCCCCAAGAATTCTCAGCCCAAACACTCTAGGCCGAAAACCCATTTCTTTTGGGCCTTATTGGACCGAAAACCCTTTTCTTTGGGCATTGTGGGCTGAAAACCCTTTATTGGGCCAAATTTAGCCCAAAAGTCCATAATCACACTCCAAACCGAAAACCCATTAAGAACATAGGGTGTTTTCGGCCACCCACAAACCGAAAACCTTTCCCCCTCCTAAATTAATAAAATCGGATTCGGCCACCCACAAACCGAAAACCTTTCCCCCTCCTAAATTAATAAAATCGGATTGGGCACAAGTCGAACAAAAAAAATATCATTTGTGGTGACACCTCACCACTTTACATCTCTTGGTCCGCAGAACAACCAAGCAAGGTACCTAACTACCCTTCATACATCCATGCAGAACACCTTATGGACCACCATGCATCAAGGCACTCAATCCCCACCTCCCTCTTATACTTGCGGCCGATCCCACACCCACACACATCACAAAAATATTTCACTCACTTCACTCTCAAGAACTTCCTCTCATCTCCTCTCTCTAAAATTCCGGGTGTGCCATTCTCAAGGGTTTCTCTTCAAGAAACTCATAAGAACTTGGTAAGTTTCTTGTAAATCTCTAGTGCCTTATACATTTTAAGTTAACAACTTCATGTTTGCACATCCATTTTCGTGTGTATGAAACTAGAACACTAGCCATTTTCGAGAACTCTTCAAGTTGTGCAAGGCTAGGCTCGAAATCTCTTCACCTTCCTTCCTACAACTCACGAAAAATACCAAGGTGAGCTTCATACCCCCATCTTTTCGTGTTTTCATACTTTCCGGGGGGTTACAAGTCAAGTTTCGTTTAACCATTGGATATTTGCATGCACCTACATGTTTCTGTAACAATTTGTGTTTATGATGTTGAATATCTCATACCAACACACCTTAAAATCATGTTTTACAAGCTTCATGTATGCTAGAATAAGTTTATCCTTTGGGTAGTTTCATGCATCATAGTTATGGGTTGAAAATGGAACAAGTTCTTAAATAAAAAGGTTCTTAACATGTGTTAAAATCGTGAAGTAAATGTTGATAACATCTTTGTTACATAAAAGTTTTCGTGGTCATGATTGTACACTCAAAAATGGCGAAAATATGAGTGTTATGCCCAAACATGTTTAACTCTTGGACATATGCATGTTCAACTCTTATACTTTACACAAATATTTGAATATAATAAATGTCAATGTTATTATATGTGTTTTTGTAAGCATCGTGACTTGTTAGAGTCAAAACAAAATAAAATATTTTGTGTTACAAAACTTTCAAACCGGTTATGGTGTATTAAACAAACTACCAAGCTTGATATTTTGCTAAGCATATTTTTTTAAGTAAAATAGTCGTAACTATGTTGTCACTATTTTGATGGCTTAAAACCTAAGATATTACGCTATTTTCACAGCATATGTTACAATTAGACATGTTCACTAACGATTACTTATAAAAAATATTATAAATAATTTAACCAAACTGGTATACAAAACATAATTCATGACTATTAAATTCGCGTGTCATAATTTTCCTATCATAAACCTCGTAAAGCATGAGTAATAAACTGCATGTCATGAAATCTGTTAAACGCATGTCATAAACAGCGAGTCATGAAACCTGTGAATCGCGTGTCATAAAACTTCAGTCATAAATTCACAATAGTAATGTCATTTTCATTATTCAATAGTGGGAGTCAAAGTTCGCGTAAATCCGTTAAGGCTCTAGTGAGACACTATCTTCACCGTACCTACCTAATGTACATTCTAAGTCCTGCATTATAACAGAGTCTCCTGGAGGGAGAACGAGATAGTTGTGTATAGATCTATACGAGGATTGACACCCCCACACCTGAGCTGTTCGCTACAGCTAGACGGGGCCGGTCTAGGGTGACAATGTAACGCCCTGATTCTCAGGTATCGATTTTATATAAGAATTTTCTTGTTTTCAAGGTCTACTTGACGATTTGGTTGCCCTACTCGTCGAGTGGCAGCGGGTTGGGTCGCGTGTTTTAGTGACCTACTCGCCGAGTCCAATAAGGGACTCGACGAGTAGGAGCTGGAGGATGAAACCCTAAATCTCGGGGTATTGCACCCTATTTAAAGGATCATTGGCCTCCCCCAGCCTCCCCTTTACTGCTTCTTGTCCCTCTCAAACCCTAATACGTGTGTGTGCTCCATTGTATATTTCAAGCCTTAGGAAGAAGATTCTTAGAAAAGGGAGCTTGAAGATCAAGTAGCTAGCAGCAAGGAGCTTGTGTGGACCTGAAATCTACCTCAGATAGTACCATTTGAAGGTATCAAGTCGTTACCTTGACCTTCCTTCCTTCTAGATCTCCTTTGGGTTGAAGTTTAGGGCTTTTCATCATGTTATGAAACTATTCTTGGGTATGAGTTAGGATCTGAAGTTGCAACTTCAGATCTGAACTATCATTGTTCTTTAGGTCCATAAAGCTGATAGTTTTAGCAAGTATGAACTCTTCCTTTTGAGCTAAACCCCATTTCAAGTTTAGATTTGGCAATTATGAGTCATTAGAGCCTTGCATGCACCTAAAGTTTGCAACTTTACGTGATGAACGGGCATTGGGAAGCTGGATCTACAATTTAGAGCCTTAGCATGGCTTAAAATCGTCTGTATGAATAAAGGACTGAAGAGACTCGGCGTGTAACATCCGGATTCCCAGGTATCCTATTTTAAGTATTTACCTTGAGTTTTAGGGAGGGACTCGGTGAGTAGGCGCTCAGACTCGCCGAGTAGGATCGCGAATTCTTGTCTGGATTAATGAGGGACTCGACGAGTCGATGCGTGGACTCGGCGAGTCCGTGCTGTAAAGTGAAACCCTAAATCTCAGGGCCTGAGCCCTATTTAAAGCCCTTTATGGCCTCCATTTGCAGCCACTTCACCCCTGAGAAACCCTAGAGAGCAGAGAGATCGTTTGTGGTGCAAGAGGAAGGCTAACTCACCATTTCTTGTGTGTTTTAGCAAGAAGGAAGGAGGTAGAACAAGCTAGGCTGATTGTGGAGCTTGGATCTGTGTTGTTCACACTGAGATTCACGTTTTGAGGTACAAGTTCCTTCCCATTTCGTGAATTTGATAGATTCCTTAAATCTAGGGTTTCCTTTGCACAATTTGGAGTTAGATTGTGAAACATATGAGGTCCCTTTGGGTATAGATGATAGATCTGGACCTTGAGAGGTCCAAAAGGTCCCAAGCTTCCAGCTTTATGAGCTTTCATGTGAGCCTTGAGAGTAAAAACCCCATTTAAAAGGTTATTTCTCCATTTTTGGTCTTATAAGCATTGCATGAACGTAAAGTTTGAACCTTTACGTGACTTTCGAGTGTTAGAAGGTTGGATCTACTGGTTGGTGAAGCAGATCTGACCTCAAAAGATCGTTTGAGTGTTTTCATGGGGAGGAACTCGCCGAGCCCATAAGGGACTCGACGAGTCGA